AGCCCTTTGGTGCAGTCCCCATCCTCTGTCCCCTGGCGCTTCTGGAGGGAGCCTCTGCTTCCCTGGCCTACTTTCCTTTTCCCAATGCTGGTCCTGTAGTGACCCGGGCTTTTGTGGCATAAAGGCTGCATTCTCCTCGCGTGTCCGTCCCCCTTCCTGTGACCCCCTTCCCAGCAGCTCTAACAGGATGCAATCCGGCCATCCTGGTGGTAACCTGATGGTGGTGCGTGTCCACCTGTCCAGCTGCGACAGGCTCTTCCCTCGTTCCGTGACCTTTCTGAGTGGAACAGTATTGTCCAGGAGCTCCACAGTCACCAAAATGATTCTCGGGTTTTTGCAGACAAATCTAACATGGGCTATCAAGCAGGCCTGCAGACCCTAGGCCCCCAACAGGCCCCAAGGCTGGTCCTCTGGAGGCTCCCCATCAACTAACCCTGCTTTTCTAGGTCAGAGACCTTAATGCAACAGGTCTCAAATGTTTGGGTCTAAGGATCCCTTTACACTCCTAAAAATCATTAAGGCCATGGAGTAACGCAGAGGATAGAACACTGGCCCTGAAGTCAGGAGGACCTGCGTTCAAATGTAGCCTCAGATACTTACTAGCTATGTGACCCTGGCTAAGTCACTTAGCCCTGAATGCCTCCAAAATGAAATTCATCGAGGACTCCAAGAAGCTTTTGGTTTATGGGATAATATCTGTCCATATTTCAGTTATCAGTCATTTTTCAGTCATATCCGACTCTTTGTGACCCCATTTGGGATCTTCTTGGCAAAGATACTGAAGTGTTTGCCATTTCTTTCTCCAGCTCATTTTATAGATGAGGAGACTGAGGCAAACAGGGTGAAGTGACTTGCCCAGGGTCACACAGCTAATAAATGTTTGAGGCTGGGTTTGAACTCAGGAAGATAAACCTTCTTGATTCCAAGCCTAGCACTCTGTGCACTATGGTGCCTCCTAGCTGCCTCCTATCCATATTTACATATTAGAAATTAAAACATAACATTGAATATATTTATTTATTCATTTAAAAATAACAATAAAAATCCATTAGATGGTCATATAAATAACATTTTAGTGAAAATTTAGTAAAAATTTTTAGCAAATTTTTAGAATTTTTTGGAATAGAAAATTAGTAAAAACATTTAGTAAAAATTTTTTCGTGAAGAGTATATTTTTCCAAACAAAAAAAATTGGTGAGAAAATGGCATTGTTTTACATAGTTTTGTAAATATCTTTAATATAGCTAAATAGAAGATAGCTATGTTTTCCCGTCTGCTTCTATATTCAGTGGGTTGCATATTGTTTTGTTTGAAGTATATGGAAAACCCGACCTTCCACAGATAAGTAGTTGGAAAAGGGAGGCAAAATAATTTAATAGGCAAATAACGTCAGTATCATTATGAAAATAGATTTGCCCTCCCGGGAGGGGTCTCAAGGAACTCCTGGGGGCCAGTGGACCACACTTTGAGAACAGATGCTGTAAAGCTATGGACACTGGGGTAATCCCAGCTTCCCAAGGCTGAGGTTCCCAAGGGCCTCTTGAGAAGAGTTTCCCAGATTAGTCCAGCAGCGCCCTTCTATCAAACCGTGGCCTTGTGCCAATTGGCATTTCTCTGTCTGGTGCAGAGGAGCTGGCTTGGGCCTAAGGCCTAGGGAAGCTGTAGGTGTAGGAGGCCCAGGTGTGAGCCATCCCTCTCTGATGTAGTGCACCCAGCATTGGACCTTTGACTCCCCCCCCCCTCCTTTTTTCAGATTGAGGCCTTTTATTTTTTTTCTTAATTTATTTTTAATTTTCAGCATTCACTTCCATAATGCTTTTGAGTTTTATATTTTTCTCCCCGTCCCTCTTCTCCTCCCTCCCCAAAACGGTATGAAATCCGATATAGGCTCTACTTATACATTTCTATTAAACATATTTTCACATTAGTGATGTTGTAAGAAAGAATTAGAACCAATAGGAGGAACCACAAGAAAGAGGAAACAAAATAAAACAGAAGGAAAAAAAGAGCAAATAGTCTGCTTCCATCAGCATTCAGACTCCATAGTTCTTTCTTTGGATATGGATAGCATTTTCCATCACTAGGCCTTTGGAGATGTCTTAGATCCTTGTACTACTGGGAAGGGTTCAGTTTATCAATATTAGTCATCACACAGTGTGGCTGTTATTGTGTACAAAGTCCTCTTGGTTCTGCTCACTTCCCTCAGCATCACACCACACAAGTCTTTCCAGGTTTTTCTGAAGTCAGCCTGTTTATCATTTCTTATAGCACAATAGTATTCCATTACATTCATATACCACAGCTTGTTCAGCCATTCCGCAATTGAAGGGCATCTCCTCAATTTCCAATTCTTTGCCACCACAGAGAAAGCTGCTGTAAATATTTTTATGCATGTGGGTCCTTTTCCCATTTTTATGACCTCTTTGGAATACAGCCCTAGAAGTGCTATTTCTGGGTCAAAGGGTATGCATATTTTTATAGCCTTTTGGGCAGAGTTGCAAATTGCTCTCCAGAATGGTTGGATCATTTTACAACTCCACCAACAATACATCAGTGTTCCAATTTTCCCACATCTTCTCCAACATTTATCATTTTCCTGTTTTGTCATGTTGTGCAATCTGATAGGTGTGAGGTGGTACCTCAGAGTTGTTTTGATTTGCATTTCTTTAATCAGTAGTGATTTAGAGCATTTTTTCATATGACTATTGATAGCTTTATTTTCTTTGTCTGAAAACTGCCTTTGGCCCTTTCTCCTCCAAATATTCTTTAGGGTCTGTCAGGCTCTCTTTGTTTACTAAGGCTTCTGTTCTCTTGGCCAAGTCCTTTTCTCCCGAAGGGGATGTGTACTCATGTATCCAGCTACTTTCTCCCACTCTCTATACCTGGTGTTTTTGAATTATCCAATCAATTACTAAGTCAAATGAATGATCCTTAGCCCTCACCCTGCTATCAGTTACTCTGAAATCTCCTAATTCCTTGACATTTCCTTTTAATGTCCTTATTTTTAATCTCTGCTTCTACTCCTAAAATCAGATGACCCTCTATCAATTTCCAGGTTAAAAAAAAAAGGTCGTAAAATTCTTCAAGCAGATTAGACCGACGTACGTGGCCGGGGAATACGTGGACCCAGCACCATTCACTTTCCCACAGTCTTGTCTCTGTGTGTTGATGCTGCTGCTTTCTTCCTTCCCTGCTGCTTCCTCACTTCCCAGTCAATATATTGGTTCCTGATGACTCTATTCCCCAAACTCTCTGTGTATGACGCTATACAACGATGTGCCAAGATGAAACAATAGAGTGATGCCAATAGCTGCTGGCATATGGTGGAGCCAATAAACAAGATGAAGCATAGTGGGGTTTCCGTAAGGACAGGGAGGCTGCTTTGTTAACCACAGTTTAACTTTAATTCATGACAGGGTTAGGGCAGCTCTCCAGGGGACCAAGCAAGGAACACTGGGGGATTTCCTACCCACCAGCAGGGATTGGCCTCTGGTTTCCTATTCCACATACCCTGTCTTACTTGAGCATCACAGCCACCATATGAAGTCAGTGCTCAAGCCACTCTTATTCCCATTTTATGGATGAGAAAACTGGGGCTCAGAGAAGTTAAACCACTTGCTCATTGTCATATGGTTAGTAAGTATTAGAGATAGCCATCTAGACGGAAAGAGAAAGATGGACAGACAGATAGATGATAGATGGATGGATGGATAGACAGCTGTTTAGATAGATGGATGTATGGATATGTTGGCAGATAGATGATGAATAGACAGATGGATGGATGGATGGACAGATGATGAATGGATGAACAGATAGAGATTTAGATAGATGGATAAATAGTTGGATGGATAGCTAGATGGATAGATAGATGAATAAATAGATGGATGGAGGAAGAATGGATGGGTGGATATCTAGATAGACAGATGATATCTAGATGGATGGATAGAGGGATAAATGGATGGATGGATAGATAGATAGATATCTAGATGGATGGATATTTAGATAGGCAGATAAATGGGATAGATAGGTGGATGGATGGAGGAAGGATGAATGGGTGAATATCTAGATAGCTAGTAGATGGATAATGGATGGATAGATGGATGGACAGATGGAGGAAGAATGATGGGTGAATACCTAGATAGCTAAATGGATGGATGTGTGGATAGATGGATGGATGGATGGACAGATGGATGGATGGATATCTATATAGCTAGCTAGATGGATGAATGAATATTGGGATGGACAGACAGATAGCTAGATGATAGATGGACAGATGAATGGATAGAGGGATAAATGGATGGATGGATGGATGGACAGACATATTTAGATAGATGGATGGATAGGTATTTGGTTAGGTAGATGGATGGATAGATAGATGAATAGATGGATGGATGGATGAATGGAGGATGGATGGATGGGTAGATATCTAGATAGCTAGCTTGATGGATGGATGATGGATGGATAGAGGGATGGACGAATAGACAGGTAGTTGTCTAGATAGCTAGATGGATGGATAGATGGTTGGATGGAGAGATAAATAGATCAATGGATGGATGAATGAATAAATTGAGGAAGGTTGATGGGTGAATATCTAGATAGCTAGATAAATGGATGGATGGATGGATAGATGGATGCATAGATGATGGATGAATAGATGGATGGATGGACAGATAGAACATTTTAGGAGGTTACTAAGCTCCAGGCACTGCACGAAACCCTGGGGTACAAACACCCGCAAACAATAGAGTCCCTGCCCTTGAAGACTTTACATTTTAATGGCAGAAGAGAATCCACAACTGGGAGCTGGAAAGGAGGGTATGGTAGACACACTGAGGCATGGCTGGACTTGAACCCATGTGTCTCCTTTCCCTGACACCGTCCGGCCTCTCTCCGATGAGGAGACAGTTCCAGAGAAATGGAGCCATCTGCCGGCAGACCCCAAGGCTCGGGGCATGGCTCTGTCCCTCATGGGTTTCCCCGTTCTTCCTCCTCTCGCAGGCCCCCCCGCTGAAACCTCGTGCTCTCCGCCGCCGCCGCCCGCCAACAGCAGCAGCGAGGGCTCCTGCCGGCCCAAGACGGACATCGTGTTCATGAAGACCCACAAGACCGCCAGCAGCACCCTGCTCAACATCCTCTTCCGCTTCGGCCAGAAGCACAGCCTCAAGTTCGCCTTCCCCAGCGGATACAACGACTTCAACTACCCGTCCTTCTTCAAGCGCAGCCTGGTGCACAACTACCAGCCCGGCGACTGCTTCAATATCATCTGTAACCACATGCGTTTCTCCTACTCTGAAGTGCATAGCCTGGTGGCCCCCAACGCCACGTTCATCACGGTGCTGCGCGACCCGGCCCACCTCTTCGAGTCGTCCTTCCACTACTTTGGGATGGTGGTGCCCTTCACGTGGAAGCTCACGGGCCGCAACAAGCTGGCCAAGTTCCTGCAGGACCCCGCCCGCTACTACGACCCCAAAGGCTTCAATGCCCACTACCTCCGCAACCTGCTCTTCTTCGACCTGGGCTACGACAGCGGGCTGGACCCTCGCAGCCCCCCAGGTGGAGGAGCACATCCTGGAGGTGGAGCAGAGGTTCCACCTGGTCATGCTGCAGGAGTACTTCGACGAGTCCCTGGTGCTGCTCAAGGACCTCATGTGCTGGGAGCTCGAGGACGTCCTCTACTTCAAGCTCAACGCCCGCCGGGCCTCCGCCGTCCCCCAGCTGACGGGCGAGCTCTACCGGCGGGCCACCGAGTGGAACCAGCTGGACGCGCGCCTCTACCGCCACTTCAACGCCAGCTTCTGGCGCAAGGTGGAGGCCTTCGGGCGGGAGCGCATGGCCCGCGAGGTGGCCTCCCTGCGGCGGGAGAACGAGCGAATGCGGCGCATCTGCATCGACGGCGGCCGGGCCGTGGACGCCGAGGCCATCCAGGAGTCGTCCATGCAGCCCTGGCAGCCGCTGGGCACCAAGACCATCCTGGGCTACAACCTGAAGAAGCGGATCAGCCAGCGGCACCAGCAGCTGTGCCGGAAGATGCTGACCCCCGAGATCCAGTACCTCATCGACCTGGGGGTCAACCTGTGGGTCATCAGGCTGCTCAAGTATATCAGGGAGTTCCTTCGGTGGTGACGGGCGGCCGCCCGGTCCTGGCCCGCCCTCTCTCGTGACTCTCTCGGCCTCCTTCAGTGCGCGCACCTGGGTCTCTCCTCTCAAGGACGGAGATGGGAGGGTCCTCAGGGAGCCCACCTCGGCAAGACTGAGCAAGATCTGACCTTGAACCGCGGAGCCTGCGGGCGGGCGAGGCCTGCATCAGAGAGGGCCACGGCTGAGCCCTCAGACAACCGAGGCAGAAGGGACTGGGCGCGGGACACCGTTAACCAAGAGTAGTGTTGGACTAATTGTACGTTTTTTATTTAAAAAGATAAAAGAAAAAAAGGGAAAAAAGAGAATGTTCCGTATTTCCCCCCTGCCCCTTGTGTAGGGGCAGCCTTTGAAGCAAAGGAGTTTGTTCTTTGTGTTTGTTCAGAGCTCTCCCTCGTCACTGGTGAGGGCTGGGGCACAATAGGAAATGCTGATGTAGCCTCTGGAGACGTGCAAGAGTGTGTGTCTTTCTTTGGGGTCCTCCAAAAGCTACTCCAGGTTCAAAGCACACTTGGAGTCAGCGCCTATTCAAATCCATAGCTCATAAGCCCCCGCGATATTCCTTTTACCAGATCAACCAGAGGACACATGAAGCCAAAACAAAATACATTTAATTAAAAATACGAGCAAGATAAAATGACAAGGAAAACCGCCCTGTGGGTAGGGGTACATTCCCTTAGACTTCCACAACACTGAGGAGAGAGGGAGCGCAAATGGCCAGAGCAACGCATTGTAGGAGAAGCCACATACACGGCTGGGAAATACATGGGCCCAATAGAATAATAACAGTAATCATAGCGACAGTAGTAACAATAGCTAACACTTGTAGGATGATTTAATATTTGAAAAGCACTTTACACAGATGGTCTTAGTCGATCTTTACAGTAACACCCCTTCTGTGTCTGCTGCTGCTGCTACCTTCCTTACAGAGCTGCTGGGGTCATCTGCTCACTTGGGGCTGCCACCATCACACACCACTGGGCATCCTCTGCCCATCTATTTCTGCTACGTTGCTGTCTGCTGGTGTTTCTGGGGGGATCACCATCAAACCATAGCTGCTAGGGGTCCTTTCTTCCTTGGGAAAGATCCAGCAGCTCCTTTGTGACTTAGCTCCATGAGTTAAAAGCATAGCTGTAACCAGTCGACCAGAGAAGCCACTAGTCAACGAGCATTTATTAAGTACCTACTATGTACCAGGCGCTGGGCTAAAAGCTGGGAATGCAAATGGAAACCAAAGGAAAGACAGTCCCTGCACCCAAGGAGCTTACATTCCAATTTAGGAAAACATAAGAAGGAGCTAAAAAGGGGGGAGAGAAGGACGGTGTGGTGATCTGGCGTTGAGGCAGAGCTGAGAGAAGGGTGGAGGATGGCTCACCTGGGGGCTTCCTCAGAAAAAAAAGTTCTGGGAGGAGCTCACCAATGGGAGGAGGGGGCCCCGGGTGTGTGTGTGTGTGTGTGTGTGTGTGTGTGTGTGTGGAGGGGTCCTCCAGGGTGAGAAGGCCCCGGAAGAAAAGGGAGCACCAGGCATCGCATATCTTCTTACTTGCTTCATTTCTGATTATTTTTTGAGCTAGAATGAAAAAAAAAATCCTTTCAGCTCCCATTATGCCCCTGGCCAGTCCATGCAAATTACCCTCCCAAAATGCAATCTTGCAAGACTGGAAGGACAGGCTAAGAGAAGTCAGGGGGTCTCGGCTCTCATGGAGCTCCCATTCTAACAGGGGAGAGACACTCACAGAGGCTTTAAGCCTCAAGTCAGATGGATTCCGCAGTAAAGCGTGGAACCGTGTCTCCTTTACTGTGATTTCTATAGACAAAACCGTAAATTCTAATGCTGAACCATTGGACAGGACCAGGGACTTTAGCGGTGGGGAGTTTCGTTTCAGAGTTCTCGGTAGCCATGGTTGCAGAACCAGTGCCCAGGTCACATCTCCACAAGGGTTACTTCTCTGGATGACCCTTGTAAGATTCAGACTGGAATCAGTGGTCTGAGAGTCGCTATTACTACTGAGGCTCTTGGCTTACTTGGTTATCCGTGAGAATCTGTCAGTAGCTGGTAGAGGTGATGGCGGGTGGAAGGGATCGCAGACCTCTTTTTCCACAACGGCTATCCCCGTGTCCTGCCTTGCTGGAGATCCAGAGGTTTGTGGGTTTGTGGGAGGCAGGATAAGATTATTCCTGTGTTCTTCGATTTGGGATCCAAGAGTCGCAAAGGACCATAGAGGTCATCTGGTCAAACCGCGTCATCTTTATGGATGAAAAAACCGAGGGAGAGGAAGGTTTTAGTGACTTGCCCTATGTCACAGATTTAGGATTTTGGACCTTTTTCCATTGTACCATACTGCCTGCCTTAAGATCTGGGTCTAACTCAAGCTCTGTTTCTTGTTCCTTGTACGACCATAAGCAAGTCCCTTCCTCCTCTCCCTTTCTGCCTCTGTATAAAGAGGTTGGGGGACCAGAGGAGTTTAAAGGTCCCTTTCCAGCTCTGACAAGTCTGCATTCTGTCCTTCCAGCTCAACAGCACCCTCTAGTGTCCAATCCCTGAAGCACAGGGAGAACCAGGCATTGTCCATAGAGTAGAAGGAGTTAACTTCCTGCTATTTCTCCTCTATGGACAGATTGTTATTATTTTTTTAAATCTTTGGGTATTGGTGGACTACAAGCTCAATACGAGCCACCACGACAGCCAAAAAGCCTAATGGAATCTTAAGCTGCATTAAGAGAGGCATAGTTTCCTGTCATCCTTTGTCCTGGTTAGGCTACATCAGGAGGACTGGGTTCATTTCTGGGTACCACATTTTGGGAAGGAAACATAAACTGGGCAATGTCCAGAGGGTGGTGAAGGGGTTTGAGCCCATGCCTCCTGAGGACTCATTGAAAGAAATGGGCATCTTGGAGATAATGAGGAGCTACTGAATTGTATTAAATAAGGAAGTGACAAGGTTAAATCTACACTTTAGGAAAACCACTTTGGCAACTGAGTGAAGGGTGGATTAGAGTGGGGAGAGACTTCAGACAATGAGAACGATGAGCTGGATATTGCAATGGTCCAGGTGAAAAGTGATGAGTGTCTAAACCAGAGGACGCTCTGTGAATGGAGAGGAGATCAAGGCAAGAGGTGGTTTAGAGGTAGAGATGACAAAATTTAGCAACAGATTTGGTGTGTGGAGTGAATTTGAGTGAGGAGTTAAGGAGGATATCAAGATTTCTAGCCTGAATAGGATCATGTGAAGTGAGCAGAATCAGGAGAACATTATACATGCAGTAACAGTCATACTATACGATGATCAACTGTGAATGACTTAGCTCCTCCCAGCAATATAAAGATCCAAGACAATTCCAAAGGACTCAGGATAAAAGCTGCTCTCCACCTCCGGAGAAAGAACTGATGGAGTCCGAATGCAGATTGAAGCAGACTTGGGTTTTACTTTCTTTATTTTTCTTGGGTTTTTCTTTTTTTTTTTGGTCTGTATTTGCTATCACAACATGGCTAGTATGGAAATATGTTTTGCATGACTACCCGTGTATAATCTGTATCGAATTGCTTGCCTTCTCAAGGAGAGGGGGAAGGAGGGAGAGAATTTGAAACTCAAAAATTTTAAAAATGAATGTTAATGTTGTTTTACATGTAATTGTAAAAAATAAAATATATAAATTTTCAAAAAACAAAACAAAACAAAACACGCAAGCCAGTGATAGTTCAGAAGAGAGAAAGAGTTCTGTTCTGTTCCTGACATGTGGTGTCTGAAATTCCTACAGTATAACCAATTTGAAGTGTCCAATATGCAGTTGGAGATGTGAGACAAAAGCTCAGGAGATTGACGAGGGTTGGCTATATAGATGGGGGAGGCTGAGGGAATAAGCATTTATAGAATACCTACTATGTGCCTGACACTGTCCTAAGCATTAAATATCTATTACCTCATTTGATTCTCCCAATAACCCTGTGAGTTAGGTGCTTTTATTATCCTCATTTTACAGTTGAGGAAATTGAGACAAACAAAGGTTATGTCTCTTGCCCTGAGTCATGCAGCTAGAAAGTGTCTGGGGCTAGATCTGAGCTCAGGTCTTCCTGATTCCAAGTCCAGCACTCTATCCACTGTACCACCAACTGCCTCTAGATTTGGGAATCATCCATATAAACACGATTAACATCTATATAAACATATACTCATGGGAGTTGATGAGATCACCAAAGGAGAGAGCACAGAGGAGAAACAGAGCCTTGGGGGACATCTACAATTAATGGCTGTGAAGATCCAACAAAGGAAACTGAGAAAAAGTGGTCAGACAGGCAGGAAGAGAACCAGGGAAGAGGAGTGTCACAAAAACTCAGAGAGGAGAAGAGGGAGATCAACAGTTAAGAGGATTCCTTTGTGTATGGGATAGACTACATGGCTGCCGGATTCTCTTCCAGACCATAAATTTCTGTGGTTCTATGAGACTGAGCCAAGGGATGGGGAAATGTTTCCTGTATGAAAATGCACCTGAGCTGAGCCTTGAAGGGTTCTAAGAGGTGGAGCTAAGAGGTATCATATGGAAACCTACGCATCATGCCAGGAAATGGAATCAAATTCAATGTTGCGCTACTCTCGACTCTGGCAGATTAAGACCCCTCACCTGAGGACCTCTCTAGGTGCAAAGTACTCTGCAGCTTCACTCACAACTGTAGCTCATGGGTGTCCACTGGTGTGTTTACCTTATGTCTAGCCAGCCATAAGACTTAATAAGCTCAAAGCAAAAGTATTTACTGACATGGTATAGTAAAAGCAGTACAAACAAAACATTTCCACAGTCAACTTGGAGTGCATGCTTCCACAAATGCAACAGTAGGAAGGAAGGATGGTGGTTTCAATAGTCTCCATTGATCGTTTCCATGTTTATCTCTTTTTATGCTGTGAATGATTTTACTTTGTCATGATTGTAACTCCTGCCTTTTTGGGGTTTACTTGATGCATAGTAAAAAGAATTTCCAGCCCTTCATTTTTATTCTTTGTCTTTGTCTTTTTTTTTTTTTAAGGTGTGCTTCTTGTGGGCAACAGATTGTAGGTTTTTTTTTTTAATTATCCAAGCTTTCTCTATCTTTCATTTTTATTGGATTGTCAAATCCATTTACATTTAAAGCTATGAAAATTAGGTTTATATTTTCTTCCATTTATCTTTAATATTGTTTTTAAATTCTGAATTAGGATTCTTCACTCCCCTTTTCTCTTTAAAGACAGTACTTTGTCTCTTTATTTATTTTAGCTTCATCTACGTTAAGGCAATCCTATTCCTACTGGATCTCTTCTACTTATCCGGAAACCCCACCCCTCTTGCTTGTTACCCCTTTCTCTACTTTTGGAGATTTGCTGAACTTATTAGTTCCTTTTAATTTTTCCATTTATATAGATATCTATATCTTTCCCTCTTTTTTCTCTCAGTTAAGTACTTGAATAAAATTCCCTTT